CGGCAGCTCACAGGTGGGGTCCTGTGGGGTGGGGCCCTAATGACGAAGGGCCCCAAAGACTCTAAAGCCAGCCTGGGATCCCTTCCCGTTCTCCGACCTCGGGGCTCAAGAGGCGGGGGTCAATGCACATCGGGGGGCAGTCAGAGCGCCGGATCTTGCAGGATCCTGCAGTGCCAGGGGTGCATGGACCCAGGTTTGGCTACACTTGGCATCGCTCGGACGTGTGCATTTTTCCTTCGGCGAGGACCATCGAGGAGTATCCTTGATCATTTGTCGAAAAAACCACGCACAAAACCGAAACAAACACAGGGAATGGACGTCTGAGCGATGGCCAGTGCAGGATCTTGCAGAGCCTGGCTGGGCAGGGTCTGGATCGACCCGGCCGGTCAGCAGATCCCCGACGATCCTTTGAAGGTCCCCATCCCCAAGGGCCCCCTCTTTGAGCCACCGTGAGCGGTCGGGAGGAGGAGGAGGAGGAGGAGGAGGAGGAGGAGGAGGAGGAGGAGGAGGAGGAGGAGGAGGAGGAGGAGGAGGAGGAGGAGGGAGGAGGAGAGGAGGAGGAGGAGGAGGAGAGGAGGAGGGGGGGGAGGAGGAGGAGGAGGAGGAGGAGGAGGAGGAGGAGGAGGAGGAGGGGAGGAGGAGGAGGAGCAGGAGGAGGAGGAGGAGGAGGAGGAGGAGGAGGATTTTCTCTCGGGGCCCCCAAGGCAGAACACCGCCTCAAACTTAAGCCTGGTTCGAGGCAGCAGCAGCCGCAGCTTCCTCCACGGCCTTAATTCCGGCCACCAAGGCGTCCATCCCAGGAGTTTGGACGAGGCGCGTGGAGGAGGAGGAGGAGGAGGAGGCGGGCGGCCTCGCAGGAGTCGATGCGGCGTGCATCACCTCCTGCGCTGCAGCTCGGGACACAAGAGCGCGGCCAGCAGCGACGGTTACCTCCCGCCTGTAGTGGGCGTAGGTACCGACCTTTAGCGATCAGGTTGAGCGCAGCCCGACCAATAGAACCAGGCGTTCCCTCACAGCGATCCCCAAGATTGAAACGGCGCAAGCTCGTGCAGGCACCGCATCGGAGGCAGAACAGTAGCGGACGAAGGTAACTGTCTTGCACCAAAGTGGAACACAGAAGGTGGCCTCTTACAGCTTCCGCATCCTGGAACTTTCTCATCGCTGTGGACGGGCCAGGACACTGGAGCATGGCCGACTCTCATCGAACAAAACTCTGAAACAGCGCGAGCATCGGACGACCGTGTTCGAGGGCAACGCCGCTTCGAAATGAACCCAGTCGTGCGATCTGTGGGCTCGCAGGGTCTTGGGCCGAGGTCCCGCTTCGGAAACATCGACATAACCCGGCAAACATCAAGGCGAGCTTAACTATAGTGGCAACTATTTCGCCAAGCCTGGAAAGGTCCTCTGCTGGCACCTGTGGATGCAGGGACATGGCATGCTTGGCGAGTCGATTCCCATCCTGACTCATCAGAGCTATCTTGCGCTCGGGAGCGGGGAGCGCAGGTATGACATCATCTGAGCGGTGTGCAGGAGTGTGCGAAACAGAAACAATACATCCGTACCCTTCCTCCGCGAGCGCCCGCCGCCGAATCTTTGCAAAGACCTTGTCTGGTGCAAGCTGCCGGGGCGGGGGCAGGTTGAGCAACTTCACGGCGCCGAGGCAGTCGCTGTGAGTGTGACTGCGTCCCGTCGCCAGGCAACCGACCATCGCTAGGCCGAGCTGTTCTCCGGCCTGCGGTGTCTGTGGCAGACCAGGCCAGACCGTGCCGAGGACGCGAGCAGCAATCTGGTACTCGATACCAGGCTCGGCAAACATCATGGCATAGCTAGCCCTGTGGGTCTCCCGAAGCACCGCTTGGTTGGCCGGTCCACCAACGACGATGTCGCAGTTGACGGTTCGGCTGCAGAAGTCATCGCCATCGAGCGCCTCCCCGTTCGGACCGTGGAGGATGGGGTCGAGGTCCGAACGCGGAGGCGGAGGCCCGGGCTGCGCAACGATATGACGCAACCAGACAAGGCAGGCCTGCAGCATCCGCCGACTGGGCAGCGAGGGTCATTTCATCAGAGACGTGATCCCTACGGGCCTGCAAAACCTCTGGCGCATCACGAAGCCACTGCCGATAGACTAGGGTATCGGGACGACCACACCCGAGAGGACACAACCCGTCATGCTCGTGCCCCGACTCCTTCATTCGATCCCAAGCCCAGGCGGTTCCAGAACAAAAATGCATGCCGATAGCCATTACTTCGCACGAGCTTAGGTGCGCTTCGAGCGAAGCATCCGCCTGAGAGGATCAGGCGCAACACGTGCGGCAGGAACATCTGGCAAAGAACTGGCAAATATACGCTCGTGCTCACGCTGGACTCCTTCCTGCAGCAGAAGATTCAGCATCGCGAAGGAGGTGTAGAGGAGAGCAAAGACATATCCTCGTTCATCATGCCAAACCGAGGACTCAATTGCCTTCCAAACTAGCGCGTGAAGACTTCGTAGCATTCGATG